TCCTCAAGCCCAGAACACATCAAATGGATCCAGACCATGCCATGACAAGAAATGCAAAACCTGCCAACACATCTCCACTACCCCCACAATTACTACACCCCACAACAGAACCATCAGTATTCCTGGATCTTACAGCTGCACCTCCAGAAATGTAATATATCTCATCCAATGCACCAAATGCCCTAATGGAAAATACGTAGGAGAGACCAAACAACTGCGCACCAGAATGAACGCACACCGGAAATCTATCAAAGACAGGAATACCCAAGTACCTGTGGGGGCACGTTTCTCACAAGACAACCACTCTCTCTCCAATCTCTCAGTCCTGATCCTGAAAGGAAACTTACAAAACACTTTCCAGAGACAAGCCTATGAACTCCACTTCATCAACCTCCTGGATACTAAAAGTCATGGACTAAATATAGACATTGGATTTATGACACATTATAACCTGCCTGCCATCTGACTTCCCAGGTACCGCTCCACTATTTACCTACTACAGCTACCCCCCATGCCCCAGCCTGTCTCACCCACTGACTCCTCAATTTACATCTTCACTACATACCTGTTTTGTATGCATACCAGCCCAGCCTCTGGCTTCTTTACTATTCATTCTATCCAGGAAGAGCGCACACCAACTGCAGAGGCTTCCTCAGCTTGAGGAAGGGTTTTTAAACTCGAAAGCTCGCTAAGAAATTTTTTTCCAACTATTTAAATTGGTCTAATAAAAGATATCAGATTCACTCAAAGAACCTTGTCTGCCTATACACAGCTATGAATTTTTCCTTTTAGTTTTCTTTAATTGCAACGCACCTGCCTATTTCCTATTCCTATATTTATCTATAAAGAAACTTCTTGTGCAAAAGTCTATCTGTGATGAACTTCTAAATAATATTGCTGTGTTTTTTTCTTAGTAAAATAAAAAATATTTTGTATGAATGCAAAAGCCACATGAGCGCTGCATCAGTTCACCAGACTTTAAACAGACAGACCAATTTCCAAATGTGGCTGCCTATGTTATCCTGCATATATTGCCCCAGTGAAAAATGGAAGCTACCCAATTTAAATAGTCAAGGTGAAAATATCTAATACACTTCATGTAGAAAAGGTATAAGATGTCCTGTAAAATATTATTGGAAAAAAACTGTGGATCGCCAGCTACCAATTTTAGCCTGAAAATACTTAAATAAAATAACTTCTGTGAGATCCAGCCTGCAACTCTGATGGCAGACAACCACCTGGGAAACCAAAAATATACTGAAAGTTTAGGAGAACAGTTTTAATGATAAGCACAAAAAACACTGACAGAAAGCTAATGGATTTTAGAGCTAGTTCTGACTTTTTTATTCTAACATGGAAAATTTCAAAAAGCAACTGACTTTTTAAGCTCACTCCCATGTGAATGTCTATTAGTACAGAATATCAAACTTATTTTGGGGGCATGTAAAAATACCAGAGAGGTTCACTAAAGGTCTAAAGATATAATATTGCTTCTAAAAGATAAAATTAGGATATCGCAAGGATTTAAATAGCAATTATCTACAGCAGTATTCTATGTCTGATACAGTACAGTAATCTGGGGTAAGTTCATTTTCACAGTCTAAGGGGTGGGCAATTATTTGGGCCTAAGGGCCACATAGGGAGTCTTGATGAGTTATGGGCTGGATCAGCCCCGCCCCCCATCTCTACAACAACTCACCAAAACTCCTTATAGGGCTTTGGGCAGTTGGGGAAGAGTGTTTGGGAGTGGGACAGGTGCAATCCACTCCCTGCATGCCCTGTCCTCTGGGGACAGGGGAGGGGTATGTCAGGGACTGCCTGGGCACTAGGTTCCAGGAGCCAGCCAGGGTGAGGAGAGGGAAGTGGAGGTGGGGATGCATGCAGCAGAGCTTGTCTGGTCTGTGACTGCCCCTGCAACACTCCACATGGGGCTGAGCCCTGCCCACAGTGAGCTGCCATTTGAGCCCACTGGCCTGGCCCCAGCCAGCATGCAGCTTCTGACAGGGTTGCAGCAGTTCCTGGTGCAGCTGAAGCCAGTTGGCTGCTGCTCTGCTCCTGTTGCTTCCAGCAGGAGCCACCCAGCAGAAGCTTCCCCCCTGCCCACCTGGAGCAGAGGCAGAAGCAGGGGGAGGAGCTGCTGGAGGTGAGGAGAGCAGAGCAGCACCTGTCCAGCTGCAGCTGCACTAGGAACAGCCCCACTGGAAACTGTGCACTCTGGCCAGGGCCCAAGCTGGTGGGACCACAGCATGGGCTGTTCTGCTGGGAGTGGAGGGAGCTCAGTCCCATGCAGAATGCTGCAGGAGCAACCCTGGGTCAGATCCAGTCAGTTGGCGGGCCGTATTTTACCCACTCCTGGTCCATACACTATAATTAGTCTTAGGCTAATTTTGTTTTTATAGAACGAGGACATTTTTTGCTTACAATAATTTAATTGTATTTCCACATAATAAAGTAGCTAAATTACAGCTAATAAATATAGTAAAGTAGCAAATGTAGCTAATAGCCAGGGACATTTAAATCCATTAAAAGAAATGAAATTCCTTATAGTTCACTTAAAAGTCCATGTTAGTAAAGATACTAAAACAAAATTAAAGATATCTAGTTATGCTTCAGTTAGGAAAGTATAGGCGTAGATGTGCCTACATTTTTGGTAAAGACTTATTTTTCTGCAATGTTTTACAAAGAGTATTTTTTAGTTACTATGGGACTGGTGGGAGTCCTTCAAACAACTGCAGATTTTAGATCAGACCTTTATATCTCATGAATACAAAAAGGGTGAGCGTGCAGATGAACTAAAATAATTAAAAATCACTAAAATCAGTAAAAGTTTGAGTAAATTTACAGAAATTAAGTAAATTTATTAAAAACAATTCTAGAATTTTTGAGCTTTCTAGACCAGCCTGAGAAACACAAATATTAGACCCCAGAGGCATAACTAGCCATTTTGATGCCCTGGGCAGAGATGTTCTTAAGTGCTGGAGTGTGTGTGGGGGAGGGGAGAGGGTGCAGTGGGGTGGAAGTGGGTGTTCATCACCAGTATGTGTGTATGTAGGGTTCAGAGTGCTGTAGGATGCTGCCGGTGCCCCCTCCAAATCAGTGCCCAAGGCTAGTGTCCCACCTGCCCAGCTACTGGTCACACCTCTGCCTTTTGGCTCAAAAAAGGCTATTATTTAACTACTGAAAAGGTTGTGTCCAATATGCTTTTCATAAATCCAAGCTCTGAAAGAATAATAGCTGTGAATACTTGAAATATGTGTGAAGATTGAAGTGTCCTAATCAGTGGCTCAACATTTTTTTATATGTTCACAATATACATGGTATGCAATATAGATAACATCTGGTACCCGTACTTTTTTGGGATGGAGGGGGGTGCAAACCTGAGGTGGGTTGCCTGTTCACATTAAGTAACTCCAAATCAGTTCAGCAGTTACTGATGGAAGCATTTTGGTGATGTTTCTAAGGCTCCTGCTACACATTATATATATTGTACAATTCATTGGTGAATTGTGCCATAAATTTAGACCTGCCACTTATACAAAGTAATTATCACACAACTGGTGAAGCATGCAAATAAATGTAGACCTGCTGCACGTGCAAAATACAAGTGCCACAAGTGCAAAATTATCACACAATGAACTGAAGTGTGCAATAAATTTACACCTGCTGTGCATGAGAAGTAACTACCACAATAAAAATGACTATTCTGCTGTAAAAAGAGCTAACTAGCTATAAAGTTAGGGCTTGAAAATGTATAACAACTCTATAGCTGGTTTGTGGCCAGCTTTAATTTGAATGTGTAGCGGGGCTCTGACACCGTTTTACCTACAGAATTAAGTGACAACCAGAGGAAACAAACTGCAGGACCTAAAGGTCCACCTGGACTGCTGTGCAACCAAATTCAGTTAGGCCTTTCCTATGGGTTTCTATACATTTTTTTTTTATTATTAATATATTTTGTGTTCTAGGTCAAATCAGCCAAATCAGGTCCAAATCATATCAACTGAGCAGAACTCAGTTGTTCCAGAAACCATATTGATTGAGCAGGCAGAACTCAATCGTTCAAACACCATGGATGATGCTACAACTGGGGAACGTCCTCTGTCCCTGGCTCACACCCTGGCACTTCAGATACTCCCAAATCCATTGGCAGGCATCCTACATGCAGGCCCAAGCCCGGAGGTCTTGGGATTCAGATGCCCCCAGACACTACAGCAGGGTTGGGCAAAATGCAACCTGTGGGCTGAATGCGCCCTGCCAGGCTGTTCTATCCGACCCGTGGGGCCCCTAAAAAATTTAGAAAATGAATATTTATCTGCCCTGGGCTGTCTGTCATACGGCCCTTGATGGCTTGTCAAAACTCAGTAAGTGGCCTTCTGCCCAAAATAATTGCCCGCCCCTGCACTACAGCAAGCACCCTCCAACCCAGACTCCATAGAAGACTTGTGTGTGTATGTGTGGGGGGGGGGGCACGTGCCCCCCCGACATGGCCTTCCCTGCTGTCCATGCTGCCAGCGGCATCTGCGGGCGCTCCCCAGACTCAGGAGGCACCAGCGCTCACGCCAGACTCTCGGCCTCTTGTGGGCTAGGATGGGGTGTAGGAAATATCTTAATTCCCGGACTAAAGAGTCTGAGTTTCTCTACATTTGCCTCAGGCTCTTCTTTCTCTCTAGCCTCTCCAAAGTGCCCGTTCTCCCGAGGCAGGAGCTGGGGAGCGCCCCGCCGGGGAGCGCTAGCCCAAGGCCG